AGCAAAGCTTACATTGGAGGGTGTGATGACCACATAATATTGCATATTTGACGGCCTCATTACATGCATTTTAACTTAACTTTGCATTTAATTATTTAGAGTTAGTCGAGTTTATGAATAATGTTGAAATCTTGTGATTGTAGGTAATTATAGCATAAATGATGGATTTTAGAACCTTGCAATTATGTGTGGATGTGTGGTGAAGATATGGACACATTACATGAGTATTTGGAGGCTTAAAAGTGAAAGAAATCAAAGAGGTATCGGTGCTTGGTAAAATAGGCACCGGTATCCGCACTATTTGGCTGCAGTGCCTTAGTGCTCCTCCTTTTTGACCATGATTTAATTTGAATCTAAAAAAGTGCAAAGCATGAAAGTTGTATATCTAGAAGGCCTCTATATTGTGTCAAAATTTTAGCTCAATTGGATGGTTGGATCAAAAGTTATGACAATTTTACAAAAAATGGTCTGGAACAGGCAACNATTGTGTAAATGTTTAAATTACATGTCCATTTCACACACATATGAGTTTGAAAATGAATGTGTATGTGGATACATTAGAATAGTATTTAAGGCTACAATATGTTTTATGTGTGATTAGTTCGGGTGTATTGAATAAAGTTATTTTTGACATCCCAATGCTAGTTAAGATAAACGAATTTGGTTTAAATATTGGATACTAGGACAAGAAGTTTGTAGATACCTTCACTAGAAACCTTCACGAGACAAAACTCGTCCACTAGGGATCACCTAAGGGTTTAAAGGCTTGTTGCACAAGCTAAATGCAATAACGGAATTAGTATATGTTTATTCTTGTTTTCTTAATTTTTATATTTAGTTTTCTAGGGACTAGCAAAGCTTACATTGGAGGGTGTGATGACCACATAATATTGCATATTTGACGGCCTCATTACATGCATTTTAACTTAACTTTGCATTTAATTATTTAGAGTTAGTCGAGTTTATGAATAATGTTGAAATCTTGTGATTGTAGGTAATTATAGCATAAATGATGGATTTTAGAACCTTGCAATTATGTGTGGATGTGTGGTGAAGATATGGACACATTACATGAGTATTTGGAGGCTTAAAAGTGAAAGAAATCAAAGAGGTATCGGTGCTTGGTAAAATAGGCACCGGTATCCGCACTATTTGGCTGCAGTGCCTTAGTGCTCCTCCTTTTTGACCATGATTTAATTTGAATCTAAAAAAGTGCAAAGCATGAAAGTTGTATATCTAGAAGGCCTCTATATTGTGTCAAAATTTTAGCTCAATCGGATGGTTGGATCAAAAGTTATGACAATTTTACAAAAAATGGTCTGGAACAGGCAACCTATCGAAAAGACCTACCAGTAGTTCTTACTCCAGTAGCCGAAACCTATCGGTAAATCACAAAAAACCTACCAATAGGTTTTGCCCAAAATTCCTACAACTCATGTTCTACTTGCTTGGGGGTCCCACCATTGATTCTCCTATTTGCCCCTGACATGTTTTGCATATATCCATGCTTCCTACACCCTAGTTGAGGACTTTGAAGACAATGACATTAATGAGGAAGGGAGAGAAGGGGGCAACCATGATGGGTGCAAGTTAGGCTTGTCCAAAGTCAATCAACTCACCTCCCATTGATGGGAGGTTTGCACACACATGCTAGAGGACCCTATAGACGAAAAGGCAAGTCTCACACACCATATATATAGCATTCCACAAGATTTTGAGTGGTGGCTACCTAAGCTTAGGAGTATTTTTAGTGAGATAAGCTCCAAGGAAGAAGATGAATAGTGCTAGAGAGATAAAATTTATGTTTTTGCATTTTCTTCACCCATTTCATTGCAGTAAGTTGTAGTTCTCTTGTAATCTTTATTTCTTGCATTGTAATCTCTTTTAATTCTAGTGCAATCAAGTTTAATTCAAATGTTCTTGCACTTTTATTTTTCTGCTGGGTTTTCCTCTTAAGCTTTAGTTATGTTTATGAAATGATTTATTCTTTGTAGTCTACTTCCTTTTAGCATCAATACAAGTTTTAAATTCCATTTCAATACCATGTCTCTTTTCATATTGTATGTCTTTCCTTTTGGCATGAGTAGCTAGATTTTTAGTTGGCCAATCCAAGATAGACCTCCTCTTGGGTATGCCATTTTAACTCATTTTCTTTCCTCCTCTCAGTGTATGATGGTTTAGTTTGATTAGGTTGAATGTCGACGTGGTTGTGAGTCTTTGATATCTTGTAGACTTGTCACGGGTTATGCTTGGATCCTCATTTCCATCTCGTCTCTCACTTTCCACGAATCAATCATTCATCTATGCACCATTGGAGGAAGGTTTCGAGTTGACTTTGGCATTCCAATTGGAGTGAACCCTTTGGATTAGCCAACACTTGTTTTCATTCCATTTTCATGAAAACATCACTCACAAAAATCAAACTAAAAGATTTTACAATTTTCCTCCATTTTCACCAAAATCACCTTCAACATAATTCCCTTCCTTCCCTAAGGAGATAACCTTGTAATACTTTTCCAATTAAAACACAACATTTGAAAGTCTCCTTGCGCTTGAGAGCACTTTTGTTCACACACACACACACACACACCCCTTTCATTTATTTCATCCACCACCATTCTGTTGCCCTTTCTTTTGACATCATTCCAAGGGAGAGTGATACTCCCTTTCACATATAAGCCATATACACATTGAGGGTGATGTTTAAAGTTTAGTGAATTACAACAGAAACAAGCAAGCAAGTAGCTATTGCTCTCCCACTGCTCTAGCAATCGTTTGTGAATTTGTGCTTTCTTGCTCCATAAGAAAAACCCTTTTTTCGTGCCTATAAATGGAGGAAGCCTTTCTAAGCTAGGGCATGTCTTAGAATCTTTCTTGTTAGCTTATGTTTTGCGTGTACACCTTGAGAGATCATTGAGCAACCCTAGATCTCTAAATTTAAAGGCTACCCCNTGAAGCCTTCGTAAGCTAGGGCATGTCTTAGAATCTTTCTTGTTAGCTTATGTTTTGCATGTACACCTTGAGAGATCATTGAGCAACCCTAGATCTCTAAATTTAAAGGCTACCCCATCTTGTGATTCATATCCAAGCTCGTACATTACAGAAGAAGAACTTGCTTGGTGCTACCAAGCCCACTTTGTGAGTGTGCATATCAAGAATCTTGGTGAAGAAGATTGTTCAAAGCCTAAACGATGTGTGTAATAGGGATTTCAAGTGAATTTATCCATAATGTCGAATAGTGAGTTTTAGCAAATAGGTTTATTGAAAAAAAGAAGTATCTAATCATCGTATTGGTTGAGGTATAAACCTTGAGTATTTGTAAACTGGCTTTAGGATAATAGATTAGAATTTAGTGAACTCCAAGTGGTTCCCTGAGGTTTTTTCTGAAGAGGGTCATCATGTCAATAAATCACTTGAGTTCTTTATTGTATATTTGTACAAACTTTTGATTTGTAGCACACAAGAGCACTATATGTTTGTTGGTATTTGGTTTGAGCATTTTTATCACACATAGTAGTTTGGTATTGGGTTGGTTGCCTTGGTTGGGATTGCCTCGAGAGATTGAGAGTTAATTGTAAAATTGACAAACTCATTACAACAACATTCATGGGTTCTCAACTTTAATTAATTAATTGAATTTTTAGAAGAGGTAATTTTGGTAAATATAGGTCTAAAATTGATGATTTTTCAAGCAGCATTTTTAATTAACCTATTCACCCCTCTTTAGGTAGTGTCTAGTATTCCATGTGCTTAATTATGAGGAAAGACCCACAGTATCTTTTCCCCAACAATTGGTATCAAAGCATGTCTGTCCTGAGGTTTGCATTAAACATATAGTAGGCATATTTTATTTTTCTTACATACCTAGGTTTGTGTTTTTCAGATCTATTGTGACTACAAGTGAGTTTTAAATGGATTTTCAAAAAGAAGGAGGTTCAATTGCATGATCATCTCTTGATGAAACCATTTATGTATATTAAAAATCTCGAATGAGAGAATCTCTAAAATAAATTGACGTGAGAGTTTGGTTATATGTGCAAGAGGGATGGATGCTTCCTACTATCACCACTCCGATTGAAGGTGGTGAAGTGGTTGTTGAACCAAAATCATAGAGGATGTGGACTAAGGTTGAGTGCAACTTAGCAGGGTGGAACTTAAAATGCTTGAATATGATATTCAATGTCGTGACACCTAACAAGTTTCAGAGGGTAGAAAATTGTGAAACCTCTAAGGAAGCATGAGACATCTTACAAGTTTCCCACAAAGGGACTTTAATAGTGAAGATGTCTAGCCTTAAAAGGTATACAGTTCAAGACTTTGAGTATGCAAGAGGAAACATTTAGCAAGTTTTTTGCTAGATTGTGAAATATTTTCAATTCTTCCTTTGCATTAGGTACTTAGATAGATGACACTGCCATTAAATAGAATATCTTGAGATCTCTAGTGAAAAGGTTTCATGCTAAAGTGACCTCCTTGAAAACGAGTGTAAACATGACTTCAGTGTCAATTGAAGACCTAGTTAGGTCTATTTTGATCTATGAGATGAATCTCCTACCACCCAAGAAGGCGAAGGGTGTAGCTTTGAATTCTAGACGAGAAGAAGGAGATGATTCCGGTCACCCCACTTGGGAGAAGAGGATATAGCCCATCTTTTAAGTAAATTCAAGAGGTACTTTAAATGAGTCCTTTAGGTTAAAAGGAATGTTTAGTAGGCCAAAAAATCTTGAGGTGGGAAAGGAGAAAAGGGGGTAGAACTCATCAACAAGAAGTTAAGAAGAAAGGACAAGGGATCCAATGCTACAAGTGTCAAGATTTTTGACATGTGGTCATAGAATGTCCTAGTGTGAAGAAGAAGGACATGCCTAAAGAAAAGAGGAAAGTGATGAAGGTAAAGTGAAGTGACATTACTAGGGATTCTACATCGAATGTGGATTCTTCTTCTCAAGAAGATGAGGAGAATTGTACTTCCTTTATTACTTTACATTCATCTCCCCCTACAGAAACATCAAAGAATGAAGTCGATGAAGTTGGAACAAGTGCTACCATGGTGGTAGAAGACTTGGAAGAAACATTTCCCACATGTGTGGAGGACGTTGAAAGTTTTGAGGATATACTAGACATATATGATCAATTGTATGAGCAATTCCTCAAACAACAAAGGAGGGTGCTAGTCTTGAGCAATAGTGTCAACACAAGTGAGGAAGACCGAAAAACACTGCATGTGAACTTTGTGAAGTCCAAGGCTCATTTTTTCAGTCATGAAGAAGAGAAAAATTCTCTTTAAGACAATGTGAAACTCAGGAAAAATTTAAATTTTAATAACAGGGGTAAAACGGTAATTGGTCGTTAAAGCTCGAGTCGTAAACCTGAATATTTATATAACTTGAATGATGAAATGGATCTATCTCTTGGATTCGTCTTGTTAAATTAGAATAGCCAATCAATTTTCATTAAATTCCGAGATATGTGAATTTTCAAGTATTAGAATGCGATCGGGTATCGCGTGATTAATTTTTGCGATCACATTTAATCGCAGAACCCATAATATAATTTAAAGTATATCTCATAAAATTATATCAAACATGTGTTTGGTCAGGATAAAACTTGGAACAATGGAAATGTGACACTTGGTGCCTTAAGGGCCAAGTATATAAAAGGTGAAATAAAGTGGAAAACAAAGTGTTCCACTCATTTTTATTTCTTCAAATTTTGGCAGTAAGAGAGAAAGAGAGAAGAACCCCAACTTCTTCATCTCCATCTTCCTTTTTCCTTTGATGTACAATGATCCGTTAGACGTATCAAGTTGGAGCAAGAATTAAAGTTGCTCACAACAACAAGGGCTAGGCGCCAAAAACAAGTACCCACTATCAAGGATTGATGATATGTTTGATCAACTAAGAGGGTCACGTGTATACTCCAAGATAGACTTGCACACGGGTTACCATCAGTTGAAGATTAGGGAGACTGATATCCCTAAGAAGTAGTTAATAACTTAATGTGGGCACTTTGAGTTCATAGTTATGCCTTTTGGGTTGAAGAATGCCCCAATAGAATTCATGGATCTTATGCATAAGATGTTTCAACCCTATTCTGATTAGTTTGTCATGATATTTGTGGACAACATTCCGATATACCCTAAGTCTGAGGACGCAAATGAGCATCACTTGAGGATCGTTCTATAGAACTTGAGGGATTACCATTTGTATGCCAGGTGCAACAACTATTAATTTTGGTTAACAGAAGTCAAGTTTTTGGGTCACATTGATTTCGCTACGGGTGTGTCAGTTGACTTGGAGAAGGTGGAGGTAGTGATGAGTTAGGAGAGACTAAAGTCAGTCTTCAAGGTAAATAGTTTCTTGGGATTGGCGGGGGTATTACCAGAGGTTCATCGAGGACTTCTCCCGTTTAGTGGCCCCTATGACGAGACTCACGAGGAAAGAAGTCCAGTTTAAGTGGAATGATTAATGTGGGAGTTGAAGAGGAGGCTGACTTCATTTCCAATTCTAAATGTATCAGAGAGATGCCAAAGGTACATTGTGTATTGTGATGTCTCAAAGGATGGACTAAGATATGTTTTGATATAGTCTGGGATTGTAATTGCTTGTGGTTCTTGACAGCTTAAGATTTACAAGAAGAACTATCCTACACACGATATGGTGTTGATGACCATTGTCTTTGACTTGAAGGCATGACACCACTATCTGTACAAAAAGAAGTTTGAAGTGTATTAAGACAACAAGAGTTTGAAACATAAATTCACATAGCGAGAACTCAACATGAGACAACTCCGGTGGATGGAGTACTTAGAGGATTACCACTGCAGTTGGTATTACCATCCAAGTAAGGCAAATGTGGTGGCTAATGCTCTCAACCGAAGGTCATGGGGAGTCTTGGCTAATATAGCTTCCCAGGAGCGGCAAATGTTTAAGAGAGTGGGACGGTTCGAGTTGCCCTACTAGGATTAGACTCAGGGCTTCATGGGTAGTCTGACAATGTAAACCCCCACATGATTATAGTAATGTCATAATAAATTGTGCAGTAATTTTAATATATGTAATGACATAGGAATGAACCATATAAGTTATAATTACAGAAATAATGATATTGTGAAAACCCGGATAAATATATGAAATCGTTTGTAATAGAAGTTGTACCAACTAGGTTTGATGTTCAAAAGTATTTTGTATAAGTTTGGGTTGGCTTTGGAAGGGTTAAAGGTGGATTGGAAATGAAAAAAAAAAGGAAAAAAGGGACAAAACTGCCAAAGGGTACCGGTACGCCGAAGACCAGTAGCCATACCGTACCGGTACGCCTGACAGATTTAAGAAATTTTAAGTTGTGATCTGGGCCCGATTCCTTCCACTATAAATACTTAAGGACAACTTCTTTAGCCCCATTTCAACATCTCTAACCCTAGAAAACCTTAGAGAGGAAGAAAGGAAGAGAAAAACACAAGATCAAAGGGGATTTACACTTCAAGAAGATCAAAACCCTAACTTTTTCAAGAACACCAAGGTAGGGGTTTCTTTCTATTCTCTTACATTGAGGCTAGGGCTTATCTATATGTATTCTTTTGACTTTAAATCTTATATCTATGTTATGAAATCATGATTCCTTGAGATTTGTGCAATCATTACCATGTTTTTAAACAAAGCTACGGTTATATAACCATGAGATTTCTTTTCTTGGCATAAAACCCTAATTTTCAAAATAAATAGATTTTTCTCTTGATTCCTCCTTTGTTCTTGACTTTGAAACCTTAGTGCTTTGTGTTGAGTAACAAAATGATGTTGTGATGATCTCTTGCTTATTTTCTTAAATTGTTCTCTTGTATGACAAATTGTGAGAATTAGGAATTTTGGATTTCTTTGTACTTTAAAGAATATGTTTGTTATTTCATCTCTTGTATGGTTGTTCTAATGGACTTGAATTACATTCGAGCACTACCGTAGAGTGTTAGAGGTTAGTCTATCCTAGTGGGGGTGAGATGATTTCCTAACATTTGTAGTGGTTTGTTGTTTGTGAGAGCAATCACTATTGTTCACGTAAGTTCGAGGTGGAGGGATGATATACCTTTCCTAGGAAGGATTCGTCAATGCCGTGGAAAATGGTATACGCCCTTCCTAAAGTGGTTTGTGTGACTATGGTGGGTGAACGAGGTAGAATCGGGGTGTAGATTCATGGGAAACAACAAACATACATGAGTAAAATGGATGACACTATTGAATGATTATTGTTATTGTGTGGAATTGGTTTCCTACAAGAACTTGTGAGGTATGAGACTCTATAAGAACTTGTGAAAAATGGTTCATGGTTAGAAATGTTTTATTGTTGGAAAATTTATTTTTACTGTTCATTTAAATTATTGTTATTGCGTAAACTTGAGATCTGTTAAAATGTCCCAATTTTATTTCAAAATTTGATATATGATATTTGCAAAATGAGACCAAATTATTTTATATGTTCTCTAAACCTTGTTCAGGATTGGGAGAATATTGCTACAGAGCTTAGTGCTCACCCCCTACAAACTATATATTTTTCAGATTATGGTCTAGATGGAGAGCTTGGAGTTGAGGAGCCGACACATTGGGAAGCTCCACTAGACGGGCTTGTGGATCCCGAGGTGGACGTCTAGAGTTGATCCCTCCATGTTGTAGATTAGGTGATATATTTTGGGACATTCATAGATGTCTTTTTGTTTATTCCACTGCGCGAAAATAGTAGATTCTTTTGGGATATAATGACCATGGTTAGTCTATTCTTTTGGGATAATATTGTAAATGTTATATTTGATGAATGCAATATTCTTTAATGATGAATTTATTTAGTTGCTCTCATGATGTGAATGGTTGTTAGATTGTATTGTCATCTAAGGTGGGTTTTGGGGCGTTTTAGATAGCCACTCATTCTTTACTAAGTAGAGTGGTTAAGGCCTAGGGTCAGGATACAGAGATATTGTCCATTAGGGATAGGGTTCCTAACATGAATGAATAGAGTGGGGCCATCCATGCTGATGGTAGTCTTTGGTGCCAAGGGAGAGTTGCGGTTCCTTAGTCCGTTAACTTAAGGGATGAGATACAAAGGGAGTTTCATTGCTCCAGATTCACAGTGCATCCCGATGGCACTAAGATGTATCATGATTTTCATTGTCAATACTATTAGAGCAGGACGAAGAGACATGTTGGAGATTTTGTTAATAGATTTTTGATGAGTCAGCAGGTCAAGACTAACCACTAGGGATCAACAGGGTTGCTCCAGCCTTTGGAGGTGACTGAGTGGAAGTGGGAGCATGTCATTATGGATTTTGTATAGTGGATCGATTACCAAGTTGGCACAATTTTTAGCTGTGTGGATAATCTTCACATTAGAGGAATTCTACAGATTGTATATATGGGAGATAGTCTAGTTACATGGATTAGAGGAATTCTACGGATTATATATACGGGAGATAGTCCAACTACATGGAGTACCCGTATCTATAGTATCTGATCGAGATCTCAGGTTAACGTCTCATTTCTAGGAGTGTTTCTAGCGAGATTTGGGGAAGCAATAGATGATGAGTATAACTTTTCATCCCCAAATGGACAATCAGTTAGAGTGGACTATTCAGATTTTAGAGGACATGCTTTTGGTATGCATGCTGGACCTCAAGGGTAGTTAGGAGGGTCACTTATCCTTGGTTTAGTTTGCCTACAACAATAGTTACAAGACGAGAATATAAATGGCACCCTTTGTGGCATTATATAGGAGGTCATGCCATTCTCTAGTCTATTGGACGGAGGTTGGAAAAAGACCTTCAAAAGGTCTGGATTTGATCACAAACACCTTGTAGAAGGTGGACATTATACGAAAGTGTCTTTTAATGGCTTAGAGTTGGCAGAAGAGCTACATTGATAGGAGGTGGAGACCTCTGGAGTTTGAGGTTAGAGATTACATCTTCTTGAAGGTTATGACTAAAAGGGGAGTGGTCAGATTTGGCAAGAGGGATAAGCTGTCACCGAGGTATATCGAGCCTTTCAAGGTACTCAAGAAGGTTGGTGTAGTTGCTCACCAGTTGGTGTTATCGCCACATCTTTTAGGAATGTACAACGTATTTCATATTTTCATGCTTCGAAAGTACACCCCAGATCCTACGCAAGTGGTGTACTGGGGGGAACTTATTGTTGAAGTGGATGGGACCTTCGAGGTGGGACCAATTTGTATTAAGGATAGTTGAGACAAAATTTTGTGTGGCAAGACTGTGAGGCTGGTGAAGGTGTCATGGCAACACCGGGGTATCAAAGA